AACACGTCAGCAGCTGCCTCTGATGTGGGAGCGGTGTTATTAAAGAGTTTGTAGAAAAACATGAGAACTTTATGAGTCCAGACCAGCAGCTTCTGCTCTGCATCAGATTTCTCACTTCAAAGCTCCCTGATGGATCCCAGGACAAAAACTTCCTCTACAGATTTCAAGAGAGATCCTCTGTCAAGATTTCCTCGCAATCAAACTAAACTGGCTTGAGAGCCTTCATAACTCTGGGATTCCTGGACCAGGAACACATTGTCTCCTTTATCTCTGTGCGAACACAGATTGTACAGAGGTCGGAGCCGCGACGCTCTCCACCGACGTAGATATGCCGCAAATGGTTTTCTGACGGAAATATTTGAAGGATGATATCTTTCTTCACAGGAAAGACAAATCTAAAAAAAGATATTGCACTAAGCCTCTGCTTTATGCTGAAAATACACGTGGAAGTATGAATCAACACATCGGCTAATAGCGAACTGCTTAGAGACAGGATGCATGTTTTATTTATAAAATATGATGAATGGCCAGAGGAAAATTCCTTCGTGAAGAGTTGCAAATGTGAACACAGGTAACGACAAAATGTAGAGAAAAATCTGGACTTTATGAGGTTAAATTAGACACCGGTGGCCATGTGAACATCTACAGGTGCCTCAGTCAATTAGAATAACAAAAAAAATAAGAAGAATTTTAGTAATTCAACCAAAAAAAAAAAACTAAACTGTCCCCCAGTGGACGCCCTCCATTCCACTTCACTGAGACGGCGTCTGCATTCTGTTTCAGTCAGCGGCTCTTTCTCTCTTTGACAAAAAAAAGTGGAGCAAACCTGGGAGAAACTTGAGCCCCTGCAGCATCTCCCTCTCCTGGCTGAAGTCCACCATCAGGTGACTCATGTTGTCGCTGGCTTTCGCCTTCAGGGAGAGACGGAAAGCCGGGGCCATCGTCACGCTGCAGAAACGGGGACGGACAACAAAACAAACACACACAAAAAACACGGAGTGGAAACAAGCGCCTGCTATTATTCGACTGAATAAAGACGAATCTATCTAATAAATTGAGCAGAGCTACAGAGGGGTCAGGGTTCATCCAGGGAGGGGCTGGCACTAGATGGTACAGACTCAAAGAGAACCAAACAAGAGCGAGCTTATTGTCTAACACATGGGTGTGGTGGCTAAAGGTCTGAATGCATGCAATGCTACATTATGAGATGACTCACTGGGAAAATAAAAAAAAAAAAAAGAACGAAAGGCAATAGATGTCTGAGTACCGTACCTATCCTTAATGTCTTTGGCCGCCTGGGGACGAGAAGCACAGAGAGGGGGGAAGAAATAAGGAGAGAAGAGATACGGAACGGAGAGAAAACTGAGTCCATCGTGTTTTTCGCTTAACATGAAAAGTTGCTGAGTGGCTGAGATCGACTTGCTGCAGCGTGTGTAGCAGATTCGTTTGTATTTTGGATGAAAATGTTCAGATGAGCAGCGAGTAGGAGAAAAGCAGCGCTACAGCCGCCGCCGGCGCGGTCAGTCACCTGGGTGAAGCCGTCCGTCTCCGAGGAGCACAGCGTCTGATTGGCCAGCTCCAGCAGCTCCTCCGAGCTCTCCAGGGCTTTGGAGCAGGCGCTCAGCTGATTCTGAGGGGGGCAAAGAGAGCGAGAAAGAAATGAAAACACAGAGAGGAGTACATCTGTGAGATTCTCACGATTGTTTTCAGCATAATGAGGCTGCTGTGCTCCATGCATCATTTGAGAGTCACAGCCCGGTCCTGGGGCTGCAGAATCCTGAACCAATATCCATTTAATATAAAACATTTTTCATTTTTAGTATCAGCAGTTGGATGTGATGTGAATTAAAACTGTAAAATGCTCGATTAATGCCACTAAAACATTTCGTCGTTTGGTCTTTGCAACAGGAACCGACGCCATTAATGTCAGCAGATGCTCATCTGCAGCTTAATTAACGGTATGACTTTACATGTAAATGGCCGGAAGAAAAGCAGCAGCTGGTTTTCTTACACAGCTGAAAGAACACAAATGGTTGAGAGAGTGGAGAAAAAATGCTGCAAGCAAACAAACCGGAGCCATTTTGAAAACTGCGCTGATGCAAAATGACCATCATCACCAAGACTAAGACTTTTCTCTTTGTTTTTCAGTTATACTGGAAGCCATGAAGTAAATAATTTGCTTGCATTTGACGTACTTATGTTGGCGCCTCGCAAAGGTATTCATTACCTGGCCCAAATTGTCAATTTACAACAACAAATTTAATTTTTTGTGTGTATTTTACTTGACAGACCAACACAAAGACGTGCATACAACTGAGGTGGAAGGAAAAAAGCTTTTACGAATATAAAGCTTAAAAAAAGGAGCAGAGAGCGTAGATGGATTAGGTGGACACAACCAACATGTGAAGAAGCTGCTCTGAATGTGTGTCCATGTGTTAGAAAGGCCTAGTCAAAGTCAAGAGTTGCAAAGCAGAATGGATAAAGATGTCACTTTACATGCAAAAAAGCTCAAAGCACACACCTCAAAAACATTTGCAACTGTAATTGCAGCAAAATGTGGCTCTATTGGCTCAGGAGGAGCTAAATAAAAATACATGCCACGTTTTTCCCCAAAAAGGGAAGAAACAAAACAAGATTATGTTTTACTTTCTGTTCCTCCAGCTCAAACAAATCCCAATAAAATTCCAAGTTGTTAAATGACAAAAAAAATAAATAAAAACAACAATTTTCAACTGGCTGTGGTACTTCTGAAATATTTCTGCAATACGCGCAGCGGCTACCTGCAGCTCGTACGTGCGGCTGGCTCTTTCCTGCTTGATCCGCGTCAGCATGTTCTCCTTCATCTCATCCAGAGCAGCGTGTAGGGAGCCGAATTCAGACTGCAGATCATCCTGCACCCGGTTGGAGTTCGCCTGGTGTCACAGCAACCAACACAGGGATTTTTATTTAACATCAGGGGAACGTGGCGTCAGGACGCAGTCCCTTCAGAAGAGTCTGTACCTCCAAGTTCTCCAGGCTCTGTTTGAGAGTGCAGATGAAGTTGGAGATCTCCTCATTCTTCACGGCCAGCGTGTGAGTGATCTTACGCAGAGACTCCTAAGGAAAGCACAATGAAAACTGATGTTATGGATGCTATTTAGAGCTGTGGGTTTATCCTTTATCCAATCCCTTTCCTACAGTAGTTGATGCTGCACTAATAAGAGCTAAGCTGAAGTGGGTTTATGCTCTGAGCTCCCGTTTTCATCCACTTCAGAAGGGTTCATAGAGGGAGGACACTTCAGGAGCGGCAGGATGCGCATCTATAATTTGATAATAATGCACCCACACAATGATTCACAGATGGGAGTGGACGCACATTGTTACCCAGATCAGACCTCTGATAGGTCAGCCCTCCCCTGCTGTCCACCCACAGAGAAAGAGCCCATTCATTAATAAACACTGGCAAATGTTTGTTGTCGTGAGAAGAGCTGCGACAAGGCCCCCCTGCCTCCCGTCCGGGACTGTTACAGTAATAACCCGTCGATAAACCACGACAGCCAACGACTTCAACCAATTAAACTACTGGGAACTCCCAGTTCAGTCCCACATTCACACGACTGGCTAATTTCGCAGCCCCTCCGCCTGCTTCCTTTGTACACTACGCCCTGAAGACGGTCCTTTCCCCCCATCAGAGACACCTGTTTCTCCGGCCACAGCCCACCTTCTGGTCTCCCATCCTCCCGTCCAGATGTACCGGCGCCGCTACAGCCGCAAACACCGACCGTATTCACCCTTCGTCCCCCGGTTTGTGGTGTTTTAGCACGGCGGAACTGGTACTGATGCTGCCGGAGTGTAACGCATCTTCGGACGGACACCGATCACCAACGCCTTTGGGCCGTAGTGCTTAAAGCGCATGCGCCGGAACGGGATTGTGGGTAGTGAAGTTCCTGAGCTCTGACCTGAGAAAGGGACCATGGAAAATACCTGGACAGATTAATCTGCAGTGAATTGTGAGCGTTAATAATAATAATAATAATAATAATAATAATAATAATAATAATAATAATAATAATAATAATGATCATTTTCATCTTCATCTTCATCACAAAAAACAATTACGTTTTCTCTGTCGTGCAAACCAACCTCTGTTATCTGCACATTTCTTAATTTTTATTTGTTTTATTTACTTCCCGACTTAGATTTGTTTAACTCTTTGTTGATGTTGTTGTTGTTGTCATTGGCAATATTAATTTAATTTGGATTAAATTAATAAAATGTATTTTTTTTCTATCATGATGATGTTGTACAGAAAAAACAAAGACAAATGATAAAACTCATTTGTCTTCACTGTCATTATTAATGGTAACAATAATAGTAAGAAGTAGAACCAAGTCAATCCATGGAAATTAAAAAAAATAAATAACAATAATACAAAAAATTCAGCATAATATAATGAAAACTATTTAAAAATGCGGAAAAAACAAACAAAAAAAAAAACAAAACACAGCACCACCTTATATACAGATTTGTGAAGCGTGCTACACAAATCTGGCCATGCAACCATCTTTATGTTCACAGTTTGCCACAAACCATGAAGAAGTAACTGGTCAAACAAGACCAACAGAGACACGTTTGACTTGCGTGCAGACAGCCAGACATAGAAACATCACTCATAATCCTGAACACATCATACCCACAGAAACATTTGGTGGTGGGGGCATAATGCTGTGGAAGTACTGTTCTTCAGAAGAGACAGGGAAGTTGGTCTGAGTTAACAGGAAGGAGGACGGAGCAAAAACAAAGGGCAACACAGGAGGGAAAAGCAGTTTGAGGCTTGAAACCTGTCAAAACGTTCACCCTACAACATAACATCTGCTCTAAACACACAGCCAGGCTACAATAGAATGGTCTGAATAGAAATCATTCAGGAGTTCAGAAAAAAAAAAAAATAATAATAATAACTAAAACTCTGAGGTGTGAGAATCCTTGTTAAATGGCGTTTTGATTAAAAATCTGTAAATTCCATCCTGCCAGTCGACGGGGCCTGGATAATACCCGTGTTAAATGGACGGCGGACGACAACAGGTGCTTAAATTCCGTAACAAAAGTATGTTTTTATCTTTTTGTTCTTATTTTTTTCTTTAATTATGTAAAGCACCTTGAAATACCTTGCTGCTGAAATGTGCTATACAAGTAACATTTGATAGATTTGATAATAATAATAATAATAATAATAATAATAATAATAATAATAATAATAATAATAATAATAATAATAATAATAATAAACAGCGCGATTACAATAGGCCTTCGCAGCGCTTAGCTGCTCGGGCCTAATAATCAGTGTCTGGATGTCCAGAGAGTGATTGCCCAATATTTCATTTTCACTCACTGGAAGAGCTGTGTAGTAATACTTCTCTTTTGAAAATATCATGACATGTTTTTCTTTCCGTGTCAAGTCAGGGCACAAAATGCCAACAACAATTTCACTTCTTTAATAAAAAGGTTTGGGTTCTTGTGCTATCTCATTTTGATCTGAACAAGTAACTTCCAGTCATCCGGTTTCTATTTGCTGCAGCTTAACATCGAGCAGATGACCTTAGAGTCTGTGATTTTGCTCCATTATTCATGTTTTTTTCTTTTGTAGCTCAGATACATGTGTTGTTGACTGTGTGAAGAGGGCTCTCTGTCTGCAGCATGATACGACAGCCCACCTCAGCTCTGCTCAGTGGTGCTGTGGCTTGTTCTGAGCTTCCTGAACACAGCTATACCACTGTCTCATCTGGTTTGTAGCTGTAACGTTTTACCACCAGACTTTTCACTTCCTCATTTCCACACCCCGCCAAGCCATCCCTCCAGCCCAAAACTAACTTCTGCCGTTCTGGATGGAAACCATAGGAAATCATTAATTATGTCACTCACCTTGACATGACTTTTTCTGTGCTTACGTGATGAGGCTTGCATTACGCACTTATCATTTTTAAAATAGTAAATAAAGGTCATTTAAAGTGGCCTTTTTACTCAAAACTATGTATGACAAAAACATAAAAACCCCAAGCCCTTTAGAAAAATCACATTATCAATGCACAAAATGAGTAATTTTCTGTTAGGAACTGAAAACATGTTGTTTATGTTTCATAGTGGCAGCTCATACTATGAGCTGGGTGTAGTTTATATTTCTTCATAGGGTGAGGGTAGTTGACTAAAACAAATGTTTTGTTACTTTTACTTCTTCTTCAGGCTTGTTTCACTTCTGGTCTTTTTCGGCAAGATTACTAATAGTTTCCAGTTGATCTGAACTGCGTCTTACTCCGTTACTACAACAGCATGACTGCATAACAAGCAGTGGGTAAAAGAAAACCTGACTAAATACAAAATACAGTTTTCAGCTGTTAAATGATTTTATCTTAGTGGCAACAACCACCAGCAAAAGTTTGAGATAACTTGGTCTTGCAGGATTGTTTTAATTTAGCCACAATGTTTTCTTTTCTTTTTTTCTTTTAGGAGCCACAGAATCTCAAGGATTGAAGTCATGACTTTTACTAGGCCACTCCAAAACTTGAATTATTTTGAGTCATTCAAAGTGATATTACAGCTTCGTATCATTTTCCAGCTTGCGTAGCTTGACTTCATTGGATTTTAATGTTACACATCAACGGTCAGACGTTTTTCTTTAAGATTTTCTGCAAAGGAGTCTAATTCATGGTTGAGTGAGTCAAAGCAAATCCATCTGATTCCTGCAGCAGCGAAGCAGCCCCAGACCATTACACTACCACCACCGTGTCTGACTGTGTGATGTCTGTTGTACCACAGATGTGAAAAACCTTTTGAAATGTTCTTCTTTTGTCTTCTCGGTCCACAGAATATTTTCTCAAAAGCCTTAATGCTCCCTTTAGGCACTTTTGGTCGACTGACCACTCACAGGAAGTGTTTCAGTTTTTTTTTTTCATTTCTAGGTGATGACGGGTGTCTGGGATCAATAAAGCCTTAAAAAAAGGTTTTCTTCCTCATCTGTTCTTGATTTCTTTTTAGACAATAAATCTTTTTGTCTGCTTCATGTTGTCAGACAGGTATAATTTGACTAATTTCTCAAATGATCTAATTTTGATCAATTACACGTGAAGCACTTGTTGAATCAGGTTAAAACAGCGGAAGACAAAATTCAGCTTATATGAAAGAGATATAATCTCCCTCAAATCAGATAACACATAAACCATCTAAGTACAATGAAGTCAGTTTACAGTGAGAGGCATTTTCACATTTCTGTAAGCTTACAGTATTTTTACACTATTAATTACTATTCAACTGTGTTAAGTCTATTCACCTATATTAAACTATTTAAATCTATGTAAGTGAGAGCCGCGCAACTAAGCAAACAGTCTGAAGAATATTGCTGTGCATAAGATGGGACCTACTTTCAGTGTGCAGCAAAAGATCAGAAAGGCTGAGGTTGCAGAAGTTTGACATCCCCCTACGATCTTCAGACGCTTCTTCATCTGACCTTTTTTTTTTTTATCGTTCCTCACAGATATGAAATGAAAGCAAAAAGAGCAAACTTGCTCTTGAAGTGCAATGAACAGGTTTTTTTCTTTATTAAATATCTAGATGAACTTGTTTCAAAAAGCAATTTTCTTGTGTGTTTTTCTTTAAGTTAAATCAGATTGCATTTCAACGTGTCATCGTCTATGGCCGTTCTTGTCTCTTTATGGTACTTAAAAGGTGGAAGTTGACTAGGAAAGTTCATCATGTTGTCATGTTTGTTTGTTGTCACAGGAAGCCAAATGTTTCTTTTCAGGTGACTGTGGGGATAACGTGAAATAGGTTTTAGCACCTTCTGCACCAAAACCCACAGGAGGTTTCACACATTCAAGCTATCAGTGAGGTACCTGCGTTTGTTACATGGCACGAAGCAAGTTGGCTCATGTACGTCTATCTCATCAAGGCACACCGAGATACAGGAGCATGCAGGATATTTATCTTTAGAAATGCGGGTTGCACATGTACTTTGATGCCCTCTGACTCAGGGCACTTATGAAACAACAGCGTGTTAAAGTTTGGGTTAAAAAAATAACTTCCTTCTGTTTTTCTTTCAGTTTTTTTTTTATTCACAGCCTACACTCTTTTCCATCTTACATAGGTTTTATGTTCACCTCCACTACAGTCAGCCTCCTCCAGTAAAGTCACCTCCATTCTTACAGCCCTTTAGCAGAAAGCCACTCCTCCGTTCCTTCCACCCACCCCCACACAGGTTTAGCGTGCAGCTCGGTCTGATGCAGAGAGGAAGACAGCCGAGACAGGATGAGACTCTGAAGACGACCACCGCTCTCAAGGCAGGATGGAGATGTGGCTCAAAAGCGCAATTGTTGCGTTGCTAACAGGTAAGAGCTTAACCTTAAAAGATCAAAGAACAAGAACAAAGCTGTAG